CCACATGCCAGCCAGCCCCGCCCCCTGGTGGGCTGAGCTGACCACACACACACACACACACACACACACACACATAAATAAATAAATAAACAAAATTTTTTTAAAAAAATGAATCTCTGGGGGCCAGGGAATGGCTTAGTAGAATAAGCGCTTCCCTGGCAAGCACAAGGGCCTGAGTTCAATCCCCAGTTCTGCAAAATAATAATAAAAAAAAAGAATGACCATTTGCAATTTTTTTCCCATTCAGTAGGTTGTCTTTTCATTCTGCGGTCCTTGTGCAGTCAGACCTCCTTGGTCTGATGCGGGCTGGTCAGCCTATTTCCGCTGTTGATGTTTGTGATTTTAACATCATACCCAGAAAGTCACTGCCAAGAAAAATGTCATGGAGCTTTAAGAAATAGGCTCAAGTCTCGACAGACATTCCTCCAGAGACCTGTAGAGGCCAAAAGTGGGTATAAGGGATGCTCATGTCACCAAACAGGTGGCAAATGCCTGTCATACAGCACTCGGGAGGCTGAGGCAGAAGGACCCCTGGGAGTTCAAGGCCAGCCTGAACCGCATAAGGAGACCTGGTCTCAAAAAGAGTGAGAGAGAGAAAAAAGTGAAAGATTAAAAAAAGCATTACAATCTTGCTCTTATTTTTTTCTTTTTGTGAGGCCGGGTCTCACTTGGCAGTTCAGGCTGGCCTTGAACTCACCATGTAGCCCAGGCTGGCTTCAGACTTGTGGCCTCAGCCGTCTCGGAGCTGGAATCACGGGAGTGCACCGCCCACAGCCAGCCAATCTGAAGCTCAAGGAGGTATCAGTCTTCCAATATTCGTGGTAGTGCTATTCAGAATCACCAGGCTGTAGAAACAACCTCAATGCGCATCAAAGGATGAATAGATGAAGCATAATAGGTTAATACAGTGGAATATTAGTCGGCCTTCAGAAGGAATGAAACCTGCCATATCAGACAACATCAGCGAATATGGAGGTTATTATTTATTTATTTATTTATTTATTCATTTTTGGTGGAACTGGAGATTGAACTCAGGCCCTTGCGTCTGCCAGGCAAGCACTTATTCTACTGAGCCATCTCCCCGGCCACTGGAGGTTATTATGAAATGAGTGAAGTAGCACGACACCATTGATATGAGGAATCTAAGATAGCCAAACTCAAAGAACCAGAGAATAGAGTGGTGCTTGTCAGGGGCTGGGGCTTGAGCAAGAGGAGGAGCTGCTAGCAAGCGTTCGCCCTCAGTCATGCATGCTGAGTAAGTTCTAGAGATCTTCTCTGCGCTGTTCCCAACGCTACTGATCGGATACTTTGCGGGTGTTTTGGTGTTTTTTGGGGTTTTTTGGTGGGGTTGGGGGACAGGCTCCGAATGCCTTCAGGGCAGGTTTGGCTGGCTTGAGTTGTGGGGATCGAACCACAGCAACCTGAGCCTGACTGCTTTGTTGAAGCAGCCACTTAAAGAACTGAGCTAAGGGGCAGACCCCCTTGCATTTGTTTGTAATAGGGTCTTGCTATGTATCCCAGGCTGGTCCCAAACTCACAGAGATCCTCCTGCCTCAGCCTCCTGAGTGCTTGGGATTACAGGCATGCACCACCCTATCTAGCCTGTACGCTTAAATCTTATGAACGCAGTAAATCTCATATTAAATGTTCTTATGAAGTTAACTTTAAAAATCTCAAATCAAATTTTTCACTTAATTACAAGTAGATATTAATAAAGAAAATACATTTTTCTCCTCTTTATTGTGAGGTTTCCGTCCTCCACTGGTTTCTGCTAACATCAGAAGGAAGGCCTCTGTCCTTGGAAAAGCTGCAGTCCTACCGGAGACCCCTATGGGATGGGAGGCGGCACCGCAGCGCAGGCTGCCTGCCCGAGTGGCCGCGGAGCTGGCAGCACTGTCTCCTGGTGGCAGTCATATCCGAGAATCCTAATCTGCACTGTCACCGGCTTCCCAGCGACCCATCAGTAGCTCTCAGCTGTACATTCTGGGCTGATGCCTCAGGACATTTAAAAATAGTTCAGTGCTGAGCATCCACTAAATATATTCCCAGAATTCCTGCGCTAGTCAATTATTTATCCCTTACAAATGCTAAGATCAAAAACTTCTCAAGAAGTTACATATTTCAGCATGACAGGAGGACTTGGGAGACCAGAAACAACACAACTTTCAAGTCTAAAGCGAGCCAAGTGGCAAAAACGAGTATCTTGCAATTATATGTCACCTACAGAAGGCAGAGAATATTCTTTTGCTACCGGTAGTTAAAAACAAATGTATAATTTATGAGGGATTTATAATTTATATGAAATGTCTTAGTCTTTTAACAAGAAGAGCGTTTGGATCCTCTACAACTAATAGAAGCATCCCTCAGTTTTGTTTTATTTTTATTTTTTTTATTTTTTATTTTTTTGGCAGAACTGGGGATTGAACTCAGGCCCTTGCACTTGCCAGGCAAGCACTTATTCTACTGAGCTATCTCCCCGGCCCCTCTCAGTTTTGTTTTAAAAGATGATTTTTAAAAAACACTAAAACTTTCTTTAAACAGCATCATTTTATTTGCAAAATTACATTTATATGCATACATTTTTTTGGAGGAAAGTTCTCGCTATCTAGTCCAGGCTGGCCTTGAAGTCACTGTATAGTTCAGGTAACCGGAAATCCTCTCACCTCAGCCTCACAAGTGCTGGGAATACAGCCATGGATCACCACACCCAGCTTGTCCACCCAGCTTGTCCACATACATGGCCCTTGTGCTTGCCAGGCAAGTGCTTACTGAGCCATCTCCCAGACCCTAAATTATTATTATTATTATTTTTATTTTTTATTTTTTGGTGGTACTGGGGATTGAACTCATGACCTTGAATTTGCCAGGCAAGCAGATTATTTTCTTTCTTTTTTTTTAAAAAAGGTTTGTGTGTGTGGCCAGCTCAGCCCACCAGGGGGCGGGGCTGGCTGGCATGTGGTGCTGGGGGATTGAACCGCGGTCCCTGTGCTTTGCTGAGCTTGTTCTAAGTAGGTACTTCAGACCACTGAGCCATCTCACCAGCCCACCTTTCTCTTCTTTCTTCTTTTTTTTTTTTTTTTTTTTTTGGAGACAGGATGTCACTGGGTAGTTCACTATGTTGGAATTATAGGCATATGCTACCACACCCAACTCAGAGTTTATCAAAACAATTTTTCATTTACAGAAAAAAGAGGATAATATAAAACATTCCCAGGCTGGGGAGTTCGCTCAGTGGAAGAAGCGCTTCCCCGGCATGCTCAAGGGCCTGAGTTCAAAACCCAGTTCAGTCAATAAATAAATAAATAACACATTCCCATCTACTCAGCTCCCAGTGTCTCCTATGATTAATATTTCACCTTGGTATTGTATCGTTGCTGTATTTAATATACAAATATTCACGCCTTCTTGTGAATTAAATGTGTGGCTTGCTCCGATCGCCCCCGTCCACGGCGCCGCCTCCATAGGCGTCTCCCGGCTGTCCCAGCTGTACGGCCTTTGCGTGCTCTGGATGGTCTCGAACATTCTGAGGAATGCGAGCTAGGTGCTGGCTTAGCTTTTGCATTGCTGGGACCTCATACCTGATTCCCACGATGTAGGAGGGGACGGGGCTACCCGGCTCGCTGTGCAGGGGCTCAGTGGTGGCTGGCTGGCTGCCAGGAGAAACTCACGACAGAAGGGGCTGATGGCGCACAGTGGCTTGCTCACGCGACTCAGGGCAGTCAGCAAGGGAACAGAGGGAAGGGCACCCGCCCTGGGGCCTGCCGCTTCTGACCAGG